TGGCAAATAAAGTTAAAATAATTTTTATAATATCAAAATTTAAGATTTTCCGATAATAGATCGATTCAATGGTGTATCAGGCGGTTGACAACAAGGATAGGCTGTATCATACAAGACTTTACATGTAACTGATAGAAATTGTTTGATTTTATTTGGTATCCATATATTAAATTGATGAATACGACGAAAGAGCCATATTTTTTCACACCATACACAACATGAACCACAAAGAGCAACTGAATGAATAATTGGTTCAGGTAAACTAGTTATTGTACTTAGAATAGATGTAATAAGTGATGAACATGGAGCATTGTAATGTGTAATCAAAGCAAGAAGAATAAAAATAATAATAATAAATGAAATAATATAAATCGCTGATGCAAGAGTAGTAAGATCATCAACAACTGATGGAGCAATTGGTATTGGTTCATTTTGAAAGAAAAGAATGGGTTCTACATTTGTCGATGCAATTAATCTGGTATCAAGAAAAGATCATCATGTAAAGGAATATCACGATATTTACGAATTTTCTTATGCTTTCATTTATTTAAATCATACTGATATTTATTAATAGATTCAGTTATTTAAATTTACCTTTAAACTCATTATGTAGTATTATTAGGATTTTTAATAAAAAAAAGAGAAAGAATGAGTATATATTAGATAAATTTGTTGGTTAGATAATAATAAAAGTGTAAAGTTTGTAGAAGGAAGAAATAAATGAAATAAGAGTACAAATTTAATCTATTCATATAAAAAAAGATAAGAATACTTGTTTCTTTTTACAAGTTGAATTTCAGTCACTTTTTTATGGTTTTGTTAATCGATGAAAAAGATTTATGTTTTTATAACTTAGAAAAAATTAAAATAAGAATCACGTCAGTTCTAATAATCATATTAAAAAAGAAAAGCGACAAATTTATATATATGGTAAAATAAATGTGAAGATAAATATAACCAACCAAATAGAATAGGATGACAATCGTTCGATGTCGTACGATAATAATCATACATCGGATGTTATTTTTCTTTCCTATATATACAATTGCTAAAATAACAATGATTCATTTAATATTCGCAATAGTTCGTTGTTGAGGAAAATGCAAATGGAAAATGAAAAAGATTCATCTAAATTTTCAATAATTGTTATCGTTAGTATATTAATAAATATTCTATTCTATCTATGTTATTATTCGTTTCAAACAATAAAATATTTCAAACAAAAATGGTTAAATATATTTAATGAATTAATATTATCTATAATACATCCAACTGAAATTATTTCAATATTTAAAGTAAAATATAGTTTATACAATAAAAAAGTATCAAAAAGTGAACTTAATCAATTGGCTATTAGTTTAAATGATATTGATTTTTGTTATGCAACATTAAATAAAGTGAGTCGATCATTTTCAGTTGTTATTGAACAGCTTCCTGAATGTTTAAAAGATAGTGTATGTATATTTTATCTTGTACTTCGTGGTCTTGATAGTATTGAAGATGATATGACTTATCCAGATGAGAAAAAAATTGTTTTATTAAGAAATTTTCATAAAAAATTATTAAT